GGTGTGCACACGGTGGGGGCGGCCGCGCGCCCCACAGCCGTGCGAGCCCGTCCTCCGTGGCACGGTGAAGCGGCACCCGCGGCGCCTTCTGGAAGGTTCCGACGGCGCCCTCTCCCCGCAGCATAGCCGAGAAGGGGCTGGCCCTGGGCGGCTCCGACGGAGGGGTGAGTCTCAAGGGGGGGGAAGAGGGGGAGGGGCCGCTCCCGCCTCCCCTCACCCTGCGCGCTGCCCTCTGTCCAGGTGTCCATCCTGGACCTGCACTCGGGGGCCCTGTCGGTGGGGAAGCACTTTGTGAACCTGTACAGGTGAGAGCCGGCGCGGGCCTCCCCGGGGCCGCAGGGTTGGGGCTGGCTGCTGGCTGGACAGGAGGTGTGAGACGGAAGGCGGCGGGGAGCGCGCGTGGACACGCCCTGTGCTCGCAGGTACTTCGGCGAGAAGGCGCAGGGCGTCTTTTCAGAAGAGGACTTCCAGCTGTACCGGTGAGGCCCGCGGGGCCGGCTGAGCGGCAGGACCCCCCCCGCCGTGCACCCTTGTCCACCCCTGCCGTCCACACTCACCCGTGCACTCCCTCAGTCCACACTCCGTCCACCCTCGCCCACCCACCCCGCTGTCCCGCGCACCCAGCAGCCACGGGGCGACCCGAGGGCAGCTCCCGGTGGCCGGGGGTCCGGCGTGACAGTGGTGCTCGTGGGCTGTGCCCGCCGCCGCTGGCCCGACCCCATGTGCGGGTGGGGGCCTGGGTGGGGCGGGGCCTGCCAGAGGCCCGCAGCTGCCGTGCCGCCGCCCTGCGTGGGGTCCGACTCCCCTGGCCAGGGCCCCTGCGCCCCAACCGCCTGGCTGTCGCCCACTCCCCGCCCAGCAGCCTGAACCCCCCTGGGCGGGCGCACCCGGCCAGTCGCTTGCTCCCTGAGCGTGGCTGGTTCTGTGCGACCGCGAGGACTGGACGCTTCTGCCCTTGGGGGGCCCCGCCGGGCCCTGACTGCCAGGCAGGAGGCTGTGAGGATGAGGGAGGCCGAGCGGGGGAGGCCACCGCAGTCGCGACAG